CATGATAAGCTGTCAAACAGTTTAAGTACTTCCTGTGTGGAGGAACTCAGCATGTGACAAGGACACTCAATCTGCTGCTGAACATATACTTCTCCACCGTTTTCTTTTATTCAACCAAACTATTGAACAAGAAAAATCCTTAGCCTGGCATACGAGGTCCTCCCTGATCTGTCCCCTGCTGACCTCTCCAATCTCATTTCCCATGGGGACCTCACTTGTACCCTCACTTCCATCCAGACTGTGATCTCACTCCTGCCTCCCCACAATGTCTGGTGCCCAGAAAGTTCAAGTTCGCGTGGATGGGGAAGGACAGATGTGTGGAGGAGTACGGAGCTCTACAACTCAGGAGAGCCTCTCTGCTCTGCCAGCACAAATGTATCAAGTGTCATACTTCTGTGTTATTGCAGCCAACATGAAGTCTTTTTTTATGGCAGCTGCCTGGTACTGGACCCAAACCCTCGACCTTGGCGTTATCAGCACTGTGCTCTCCCAAGTGAGCTAACCAGCCAACCCACTGAAGTCTATTTTTGAAACGGAATTTCTCCTACCAGAAATGCATTGTGCAAAACTCTACTGAAAGCCACCAGCATTACTCAAGGCCTTCCATCTTGTTGATTCAGGAGAATGCCTACCCCATCCCCACGCATCTCCCTAAAGAATGACTGGTCTCGCTTTGTCCCACAGCTACCTGCTTGTTCCCCCTCCCTGCTGCTTTTCCCATCTTTTACGGCTTCAATTGAGACCCCTGCACCTGTGCATCCAAATCAGATTGTGTCTCTTGCCCCAGCTGGTGTTACTTCTCCCAGAAGCCTTCCAAGACCATCTTCCTACACTGATCTTCTTGGCTCTGGATTCCTGTCGTGACACAATCATGCACTGCCTGCCACTTCAACGTAAGGAACAGGAGCCAGACCATGAGATTGTGGGTAGGTTGTTTAGCCTCCTCTAAGTTTTAAGGGCAGGGACAGCTTCTTTATCTTATCAGCTCCCAGAACAGGGACCGGTCCACAGAGCAGGAGCTCAGTAAATGAGGAATTTGGTCAACCATCTAATACTCATTCAGTAATCCCGTGGCAACTGACACCTTGCTGAGCACATAGTAGCTATACAAATCACAAGTCTTGCACACCATTATATGCCCAGCAGAAAGCAGTTACTCAGTTAAGTTTGAGTGACTGAATAAATGCAGAGCAATGCTCTGGAATCAAACAAATGCATTCCAATCTCAGCCCCATCACTTAGTAGCTGGAGGCCTTGGGTAAGTTAACTGCTCTATACCTTCTCCAGCATGGCTCCAGTGAGACCTGCCTCTTAGGGTTATTGAACAGATTAAAGGGGATAATTATTCATAGAGAGAATTTAGAACACTTGCCTCAGCTCCATGAGAATAAGATGTAAGATGCTGTCTTTACGGGCAGCCCATAATAATCGACTTGCCAGAAGAGAAGATAGTGAAAACCTGCCTGATTACTTGGCACATCCAGCTACAAAGAACTCAACAGTGTGGTGCTACAGCAAGCTAAAAAGAAGCATCCCAAAATATACCCTTTTTCCAGAACCGCCTCTAGCTTTTCTTCTTGCCAGACCTTCAAAGATTCCTGCTACCCCTCACGAAGCCACAGCTTTCTACCAGTGCCAAGTTGAGGGAAGGATGTGCTGTCATTGTTGATTCCGCTTAGCAAAGTCAACTTTGCATCTTTATGAAGGCTCTTCCAAAGCCTCTTGACAGTAGAATGTGGTCTGGTTACTGTCAGGGCCTTCAAAGTGCTGAATCTCCAAGAATCCCCAAGTTCAATAGCACAATTGTCCACAATTTAAAGCGAGTTCCTGCAAGTCCTAGCTTCCTGTCACACAGTTGCTTAGCACTAGTTTCCAAACTGTCCTCACAGATGCTACGTCCTCTCAGCCTCAAAACAGCCTGAGTCGGGCCGGCCCGGTGGCGCACTGCTACAGTGCGCCGCTTGAGAGCGCGGCGACGCTCCCGCCGAGGGTTCGGATCCCACATACAGACTGGCCACTCACTGGCTGAGTGAGGTGCAGGCGCAACACCGAGGGTTGCAATCCCGTTGCCGGTCCCGGTCCAGTACGGGCGCGACACCGAGGGTTGCGATCCGTTGCCGGTCATGAAAAAAGACAAAAGGAAGAAAGAAAAAAAAAAAAAAAAAAAAA